GGGTGGGGAAGTTGGGACATAGAAATTGGATAAGAAGCAATTTCAGAAAGCAAGGTATATTATCAACTGTGCCACCGCAGAAGTGAAAGCAGTTCTGTTGTCTGGCTGGGCAGCAGAGGGTAACAATGAGACATGAAATCTAATGTTTCTCTAATGGTGAATTATATCCTCTGTCTGCCTTAATAGTGTTCAGGTAAGGTCACAAATCAGTAACACGGGACAACAGAAGCTTGATTTGGGTTTCCTTACAGGCAGTGTGGGAGGGGTCCTGTCAGCCCAGCCAACATTCAGCTCCTTTGGTCTCCCCTTGGCAGTGACCTGCACTATGTGTTTCCAGTGGAGGAGCAAAGCGTGCTAGGGCCTGGGAAGGCATCCCATTGGCTTCAGTACTCAGGGTCAGGGAGCTGCTGGACCTGAGGTGGCATGCATCCATTAATTTGTCCTGTTTCCTTTTGGTTTTAGAAGATCTTGTTTCTTTTTAACATGCAGTGCCATCTTGTGTGGAGTTTCACAGTTTAACTCTGCCCTGCATTGAATGGTACTTTGTTTAAAGTTCTGAATCCATTTCAGCCGTTTTGTTTGACATAGCTCTCCTCTTTGTACTGGAAGGGATGGGTGACCTGTTCCCCACTGATGTGTTCAGTGCAACTTAGCAGATACGCACGACAAGTTCGTCCTGCAGCTGTCCCCTACCCCAGTCCATTGTGGCTTTTCCTGCAGAGCAGCCCTGCATAACTGCAGTTTTGGCAAATAAATTAATGTGTTCTGATGTGCTGGCTGAACGCAGTCCTGTGAGCAGCAAAAAACATGGAGCTTTGCCTTCCATTTGATAAGGGAATTTGAGAATAGACTTCACGAGTGCTGAAAAAATATCCTTTTTTTTTTTGTTTGTTTGTATATTTGCAGCTCTGTTTTTGGTCAATACCTGCAAATTTTCAAATGGAATGTATGGAGTTGTAATCAGATATTAAACTAAAAAATCTGATCAGTTCTCCAGCTGGACTTTTATTTGCCTCATCTTAGCAGAGATAAATGTCCCTCACTTGCCAATCACACCTCATTCATGTCATTGCTTTTTGGCAGTCCATGCATTTGTGAAGATGAATTATCACAGATGACGTGCAGCAAGAATAAAATTTCATCAGAAATCTCTGTGCGCCTCGAAAACTCAGTAAGAATAGTAGCCACCTCCATTGAGCCAGTCTGATGCATTATTGTCACAAAAACAAGGTCACTTACCCCACTAGTATCATTTTTGCTACTGTCCTTCTTTAATCTTCTAATAAAAATATAAAAAAAAAAAAAAAGAAAGAAAAAAAAAAAGAAAGTTTTGTTACTTATACACTGGCTATTTTATATACAGACCAAGACAATTCCTCTTTACTCTGCAGTGGCCCAGGCGAGCCAGAAGGTTGGACACCCATGAGTTATGCTCTGCATCCCTCTCAGCTGTCAGTCTTACCAGTGGAAGCATCCTATCCTGGTTAATAACTCATTGTGTAAAAGCTCTTGTGCCATGTTTGCAGCATCTTATCTCACTTCTTTCAACCTTTCCATATGGTGTTCTGTCCTTTGTGGCAAAGGATATGTTTTTGGTAAAGAGGAAAACTGGCATGTGGTGGTTTGCTGTGAATTTTACCCAGCATGTATGTATTTGTCTTGCCTATTTTCCCAGGATAGTGTTCTGCTGTGCCATGCAGGGAGGGTTTGGAGGTGCCTGAGCTGATGCTAGGGATTGTTAATGTCAGTCCAGGGCTTCTGTTCAGAGTGGTGGGAGCAAGGTGAGAGATTGTGGGTTAGATGTGAGGTTAGAATTGTTCATCCCTATGTAGATGGACTGAATGGCATCTGTCTGTAGTGTGTGTTCCTGCTAGGTCCTTCTGCAGCGCAGCGTCACCCCGCGTAGCAGCAGAACTCAGTCACTTGGCTACTTCCCAGCTTTTCTAGATCACTTAGAAATATTTTATTAAGAACAGGCTTCAACACGGATCCCCTTAGAGCTTCCTGGTCAGTCTCAGAAATAAACCAGCTTTCTCTCTTTACTAGTTTCTGATCCATGCAAATGCCTTCCCCTTTTATCACAGACTAGCTCAGTTTCTGCAAGAGCTTTAGATAGAGGGTGTTTCAAAGCAGCCCCTTTTCTAAAATCCTGGTGGGTTGCTCTGACTGGATCTTTCTCATCCATATAGTGAGCAGCTCCTTTAATTACCCATTGTGAAGAATCACTTAGCTGTGTGAAAACATACCTGCTCTTTCTGAAGGTGCCACACCTGTGCACCCTTTAATACTGTTCCTTTGAAACCATTTCTCTTACTGCAGGTAAATGGTAATGCAGCTGCTCGCACTATGTCAGGGCCTTTCCCTAAGCTTGGTGAACATTTCTGAGTGTGTCCTCTCCTGTTTGGTCTTCAGATTTCCAAACTATTTTTCCGTGTTCCTGTATGTTACACCCCTGGTCTCTTCCTATTCTCTGCCGTAGCTGGAGGTTATCCTGCTGTGCAGGTGAGTTTGTGCCTTTCTCATTACAATTTGCAGAGGAAGGCATTTCTTTTGCTGTGGCCCAGCAGTTCAAGCAGCACAGTTAAGGCATTTGTGTCCTGGTGATGGTTACTGTGTGTGGCCAAAGATTTCCCCATGTTCTGGTTTAACTGCTGGCTGGAACTAAATTCGATGGCATCCTTACAAACTTGGCTGATGAGAAGGGGTTTAATACCTGGAAGTAGATGCTGTGTGTTTCAGTGGTCTGACTAGAGTCTGGGAGGTGTTGCTGATACCTGGTGAGTGGTGGGGGAAAAGCCACCCAAAGCAAAGCCCTGCTTTGCTGCCAGGCTGTTCTGGAGGTGCGTTTTTGCTTCCCTCTGGGGACAGACGATGGGGTCTGCTCAAGTGATGGGTGCTTTGGAGGTGTTCGTGCTCTGCAGGATTGCTCTGTGGGAAGCATGGAAGTCAGACACTGGAGCCCATCTGTAAATTATTTTCCTTTGAAGGTCTCAGCTATTCTGTATTTCCCACCCATATTTGTGTTTGCTCCTTTCAAGTAACACTGCAGAGAAGAACTGCATGCCTAGAAGTCACTTTGTAAATAAGATTGTGTTGCATAATAAGTTTTTATTTATTAAAAAGGCAACATTCGTAACTTTGGCAATAACCTTTGGAGTCACATATCAGACTGCAGAGCAGCCACAGAGTTCTGGGATTCTGTCACAGTCAGCAGCTATTTTTACTGTTATTTTTTGATTTCAGAGATGATAAATTGTGGGTTGTGCAGAATAGTTGGACAAGATACAGCTTGTTGCATCCGGTCAGCTTACTTTGGTGCACTTACATTAGTGTGGCTGAAAATCTCTTGAGATTCAGTGTCTGTTACTCTGAAAGTATCTATCTGGCTATTTGCATACCTTATTGGTGATTGAAATTGTCCAACGCAGCAGATTGGCATAGCCCACAAATTTACTTATGAAGGAGCTCTTTTGCATGTTGCTGTATGGACATTGAGGAATGTGGGGTGGATAATTTTATTATTTGAGAACTTAAGTTCCAATTGAGAATGGACATCCAGATTGTACCCATAGATGATGGGCAAAATTCACTTCTGTTCTCTGCATTTTGTTTTTCCTTTTTCTTCTGAGTCAGGTGGGCTTAAGCAAAGGGCTCTGAGTGGAGAGCACCCTGAATCCTGCAGAGCTCACGCTGCATCGATGCAGTACAGCCCTGATGAGGTTTTCTTTGTTGCCAGTAGAAACATCTAATAAATAAACAGTTTCCTTTTATGAATTAATAAATCTATTAGAATGATTTCTTATAGGCCTAAATATATGCAAGTCATTATTCTCCATTAAGAAAAAAGATAATAATCAGCATTTAAAGGTCACTTATGTGGATTGCGGGAGGGGCAAGGAGAAGTCGCCAGAGCTCTGATGGTGGCCTGCTGGTGAACCATTAGGCGGCTGCTGGGAGAAGCACGAGGTGATTTTCATTGATTGAAGACTACAGTTGTGAATTCTTGGTGGGTGAGTTCTCCATTACTACAGGGTGGGTCCAGTTGCTGCATTGCTTGACTTTCTGGTTAGCTGCTGGCAGTCTGCACAAAGCAGCTCCAGGGATTCAGTGTCTTTGATACAAAAAGGCATTCAGGGTGGAGATGAACTGCAGCACCATCATCACAGTGAGACATTTCAGCTGCAGCTGAGCGCTTCTATTTCAAGGGGAGCATTCTCTTGCACTGGGAAAGGCCGGTGCTCACTGCAGGTTGTGGTCTCAGCCCTTGGGTTCCCAGCAGCGGCGCTGTGCTGTGTGCAGGTGCAGCTGGTCCATGGGCGCTGGGCCTCTGTGCTTAGGGCAAAGGGCTTGGGTGGCTGCCCTTGTTATGGCTGTGCCTGTGTGAGTTCGTGTGGGCAGACATGGGAGTGGGGAATGAATCATGGCTTTTAAATTTGTGCTTAAAATTGAGTTAATTAAATTACTTTGGAAAATGTTTCAAAAATTTAGCGTGGCAGTTCTTGAAAAATACAGATTCTGTTGTATTCTTCAGGGTATCCAGTTCAGCATCATAATACGCATTTGTGTAGGATTTTCCTAGTATATTAGCTGCACAAATGTTAATTGCAGTGGTTGCAACTTGAAGGAAATTGATTACAGCACTTCGTTATTTTCTTTGAAGTTAGGACTGTGTGTTCTGATGCGTTGTGTAGAGTAAGAAGTGAGACAAGGAAGGTTTTGTGTCTAGTATGAATTTGGAGTTGGTGATTGAAGTGATCGAGACTTGCTTGATTCAGAAGTCTGATAAAAAACGCAGCTTTTATGTCACTGCTGAGCTTAGCTTGTGATAAGGGCTGAAATGAAGGTATGTGATGCGGAGAAGTTGGCTGACAGGTTTTCTGGGCAGCTGTGTAATAGCTATTTTTATGTAGGGAATGAGCTGAAGTGCTATGCTTAGAAGGAAAATTCACGCTCAGGTTCAACCCTCATATGTCTCTCTCTCTTTTTTCCCCACCCTTTAGTGATATGCAGCTTCCGAGGAGCTGTGCCGCAAGGCTTGGTCCTGGAGCTGGGGGAGACCGTGCAGATCCTGGAGAAGTGTGAAGGTAAGTGTGGTGCCTAGGAGGCAATCCTATTTGCTATGTAAGAATGTAAAAATATTTTAATACGGCAGATTTTAGTACGTTGCTCAGGAATAATAATGCATCAAATCAAAGCACTTGGATAAAGAACTAGCCTGACCCACTTTTTGTAGGAAAGGCTGAGTGCTTCTGGCACTAATCCAGTCTGATAGGGGGTCAGTGTGTTTTAAGTTAACCATCTGTCCAGAAAATCTTGAACCCTGACCTGATTGTTGTGTTGTAATTGGGTCTTGCAAGAAATTTTCATCACAAAGTGTGGTCTGTGTTTTTTTTTAGCCGTATTTTCTAAATGTTGCTGTTACGTGTTTCAATGAAGCGTACCAACGTTTATTGCTTAGGAATATCTGAACACACAAAAAACATTAGGTGTGAAATAGAGGGATGCAATTTAGTAGCAGTACTGGAAATAAACTAGAGAATAGAGATTTAGAGAGAAGAGCATGCTTCGTCCCACGTTTTGTTCCTGAAGGAGAATGCCACTGTTGACATTACAGCTATAACTACGGTTCTTGTACGTGAATAAACTGCACTTCCCAATCCCTTGCTTGTATTCCTGGGGCTAATCTGGCTGAAGTTGTTGCATTTAAAAGAGAACGCTTTTTATCCTAACATTCAGAGTAAGCAAGTGGTATAAAACATATTTATTGAGAGAGAGGCTGACAATGTACAGTATGGGGATGTTTCTCTGTAGTTTCAGATGAATAATATAACCTTAATCCTGAAGCATTTAAAAACAAATTCAGAACCCAGATTCACAAATCTGAATTCCAAATTCACATTCCACAAAACTGTGGTTTTGTTTTTGTGTTTGTTCAGTTTACTTTCCTATTTCATCTTCAGTGCTAGAGCTCCTATATAAACCTCCTGCCTGGTTGTCAGATGACTGCTTTTTTTTTTTTTCTCTCATGCCTAAAACTGTCTTTTGCTCTTGAGGTTTTCCTCATGCATTCAGGGGTTTTGTTTGTTTAGCTGCTGAGTGAGCTCTTCTGTGAGAAAGTAAGCGAATATTTGTGAGTCTTAGGAAGGTGGTGGCTTCCTCACCTATGCCTATAAAGCTTTGAGTGAGTTTTGCAGTTCAGTGTTGATGCTTAATCCATGGAGAAGCGTGTTGTAAACAATACATCTGGTTTGCACGTGCAAATTGATAATATTTTATTTAAAAACAGAGTGGCGCAATGGGCCAAGCTTTGTTCAGACAGTGGTGTTGATTGCGGTTGCTTTACCAGGTCTTGTGAACACCGCAAGCTCAGGAGAAGATACTTGAAAAGAATAGTAGAACTCTAAGGGAAAACAGTGATATTGTTGACAGCAGGCATGATGTTTTCAAACAATTTCCCCTAAACTTCCAAAATTGTGGGAAAACTTCCAAAACTGAGGGAAAAAAAGGTATCCAAAGGAGCAGCTTGCTTACAGGAAAGCAAAAGGATAATCCAGTCCATCTCTTCACAGTGTTACAGTAATTGGGCTCTGTTTTTTCTTTGCCAGTAATTTTGAAGACAGTTCCTCAAAGGCAGTTTGTGTCAGTCTTCAGATCGTTGTGGAAGGAAAGACCCTGTGTATGGTAGTATGCATTCTGCTGTGTGGAGGAGGCTTTAAGTGCACCTGTGTTGTTTGTTTTTTAAGCACGCTATCCTGTCTTTTTTTTTTTTCTTTCCTCTCCTTCAAGGAGCTTTTGGCACGGACTTTATATACCTAAGAAAGGTATGTTAATTTTGCTACGTCTGGAAATGCACAACATGGAACTCCTCTATCATTTCAGTAATGCCCTCCCTGAGCATCAGCAAACACTTCTGGGCTGTGCAAGGACTGAGTATGGGTTTCCCATGGAGGCTGTGAGTCCCTCAGAGCTATGGGCACAGGGCTAGATAACTTCTCTGGGCAGCCCTGTGGAGTGTGGGTGGCACCCCCAGTCAGCCTGAGCCACTGCTTAACAGCATCCTTGGTTAGAGTGAATTGTACTAGTTCTTATGCTCTGCATTAATTGCTGGGGATTCTTTTGAACGGAGTGGGTAAATTGATGTTAACTCATGCAAATGAGTGTTGAAAGGATTGACATGCACACAGGTATGCTAGTGACATGGAGAAGGATTTCTGAGACTTGCTGAAGAGTTCCAACATAGATAAAAAGCAGTGTTACCTGTGCTTCTGAACATATGTATTTCTAATGATAATGAGCTACTGAATAACTGTTACAGCAAGGACTATGTCATAGCAACTGGTGTAGAAAGCAGTTGTTGCATTTTGAACACACTGAATAGAAGAGAGAATTTCCTATGTTCTTGTGTAGCTCTGCAGCTGAGCCTTGTGTGTATTTGCAGGGCAGAGGAACAGATGTGCTCGCGTGCGCACACATACGGGTCTGTATGTGTGTATGTGCATGCATGTGTGTGCAGTGGAGTTTAAGGCTAATAACACTGACGGTAATGAATGTTAACTGATAACACACGAGCAAATCCTTTCTTTTACATTGTAGTTGTGTGACTTTTTAAGAACTGCATGGTTTAATTTCTGTGTTAGTAGCAGTGTTGATAAGCCCTATGTGTAATGTAGTTAGCATCCAGCAGTGACAGTGTGGCCAAATGAAGGCTTTTGGTGTGTGGGACACCTGCGAGTTAGCATTGGTTGGTTTGTTTTGCAGTTCTGAGAACTCTGTGCCTGAGAACGGTGTCTGTGCTATGCTTCCAAGCCTCCAGTGAGATGGCCGTTTTCCTCTGCCTTTTGTTTGTCTGAGGAGCAGAATTCACCTGGACCCACACAGCTGCTATGGAAAATATTGCCCGACTACTTTGTAGAGCAGGGATGGCTTCTGGATGGCTGCCTCTGTGGCTGAGGCCAAGATGAAATGCTGACATCCAGCTGTGCTGCTGTGGCCCTGCTGTCACAGGCTGGGTGGGAGTTCGGAGCTGCTCCATCTGTCACAGCAGGCTGCTCTGGGCAGCGGGTGCCTTTGGTCAGGCAGCTCTCACTGCTCATTGCTGCCAGCCCTCCTCTAGGTCAGTGCGTAGTGCGAGGTGCACACAGCCTGCAAGCAGCTTACGTGCAGATTAACTGGTAGCAGCAACTATTGATTGGCCAGCGTGTACAAAAGGTAGCTGTCCTACAGGTCCGGGGGTTACTCATAAGGCTGGAAAGGCTTATTCGTCTAAAATTCAGAATAAGAAGCTAAGATGCATTTATGTATTAAATACGTAATCTACTAGATCTATAAGATCCACAATATTCATAATTTAATTATAATTTCATAATGGAATGAAAGCTAAACACAGTTCAAGTGCTAGTTATCAGCTGTACAGCCATCACAGTGCTAGCTACCAAGCAGTTTCATAATCTGATTGTTAAATGTAATCATCAAATTAAGTATTCAAGAAAATAGTTATCCTGTCATAATAGAGTATTTTTTGTACAGTTGTTGTAAAGAAATCAGGTTTTTTTCAAGTAAATTCTTATTTTGAGGCTTAAGAGGACGGGCATAAGGTGATGCTGGAGTTTTTTGTGTAGCTGAAAGGGAACTGCAGGAAGTCACAACATTGCCTTTCTGATATTGTGCCCTCACAGCTAGAAGTTGTGCTCATTGAAACATTCTGTTTTCTTAAACACAGAATTCTGAGTAGACTATTAAAGAGGCTATTCTGTCTTTTAAAGAAGAAATGTGTTGGGATTGATAACTTGGAAAAATTCCTGAAGTAGTTAGGTGGTGGAGCAGCACACTGTAACTAAAGAAGCTGCAGGATTTGCATCTCAGTTTCTGAGTATTTTTCAGACCATGAAATTGTGTTTTCACATTTAGCTTTCCTAGGACAGGTGCCTACCTCCAAGTGTGTACAACTCTTACTTTGTTTTGTGGATTTATTTCTTGGAAATCCGTTCCTGCCTCCCACTACTTCCAGTAGTTTCTCAGAGAAGAGCAATTGCTCCAACAGTTTGCTTTTCTTGCAGTTAAGGAGATAGTGAAGGAAACCTGGCCGTGGCAAATGGCTCCTCAGCCTAAGCTGTCTTTGGAGACCAGCTGTTTTTTAGCATGGTAGCTGCTCCCTTTTGCGTGTGATTTCTGCAAATTTAAAGTCAGCTCTCCCTTTGAAGAAAGCTCAGAACCACTGATGAGCACTGAGCTGTAGTGAAGGGAGTAGATGGGTCTTATCTGGGTCCGACTTTCCTTTGTTGTGTCCCTTTGTTGGTATTTTCCGGTTAACAAGTGGTGCATCTGTTCAATTCCTTGTGCTCATTTGCATGTTTTAATTGTAGTAATTGCAGTGTGAGACTTTGATTTTTCCTTGCTTAAGTTTGAGGGTGGTTTTCCTAATATCATGGCATCTCTATGTTTTGGAAAATTTTAGCTAAAAGCTTTCAGCGTTTTATCCTAAAATTGAGGGCTTCAGTGGTTTCACAAAACGTCTTTTTTTCTGGACTTGTCTCCTCAACAGAGATAAACAAGATCAGATGAAAGGCACTATCCAGTACTTATCAATCCTTTTGAAGCTGTGCAATTAGTAGAATAAAAGGCTGCTTCCTAACTTAAACAAGTAGATAAATCCCAACAGTTTGTCATTCCCACAGATTAAATTGTGGTTTGTTTTCATTGGACGCTTATGATCTGGAATCATGAAGTACAGCTTCTGGCCAAAAATTACAAAGATTTAGCAGAGAAGCCTAATAATGCAGTATATGCTTACCAAATTTCTAGTGGGACCGTATGTGGTAATATACTTTAACCAACTGTTTTGCATTCTGCCACGCTGATGATATCTGTACAGTGCATAACACGCTGATATAATCCCTGTGGGGTTCAAAGTTTCGTTTCTTCAATTATCACCTGACACATGGAGCTCCTGCCCTGTAGGCGGTGGTACCACTGCACGTTGCTTCCCAGCTGGGAAGCACGTGTGCTTGTGTCCAGCTGCTGTGGTGCCTGTGGCTCTACGGGATGGCATGTTGCTGAGACTGTATGTTAGCTGTCCGTGTTCTCAGGCAGCATTATAAAATGCGTCCTGTGACCACTGTGGCGTGTGATCTAGTAGCAAACTGTGGTGTGTTTATCGGCATTGGGACCCAACAGAGCTTATGATGCAAAAACCATTTTGTCTTTGTCACTTATTGCTGCATCTGATCAGACAGCTCATTTCTCTTAATGCCAGGCTGCTGCCAGTTGGAGAGCGTGAGGGAGGACCTGAGTGCGGCCTTCACCTGCAGCACTGGCAGCAGCTTGTGCTGTGTGTTGCTCTTCTTTCAGTGACACAAATCAGTGCAGTTCTGTAGCAGCGTACAACGCTGCTTTCCATCAGCAGGTGAGGGGTGAGAGCAGCTGTGTTGGGCACTTGTGTGATGTCCAGGCTTGTTATGCTGGGTGTGGAGTTTGTTAGTTTGCAAAGTGTTCTGATCACTTCAGGCAAACATGGTTGTTTCAGACTGGTGAATGTTAAAGACATGCATCCTGGGCCTTGCTTTGTACAAATGCTAGTCTTTCTGTTCTGGATGCAAGATCAGAAAGCTTTTGATAGGTGGAAGTAAAAGACAGGCTTTTCCTAAGTGCTCCTCTGCTCAGGGTTGTCTCCAGTGTAAAACAGGCAGTGCTTCCGTCTCTAGTTAGCCCCAAAAGCAGTTGTGGTTTGTTTCCTGGGGCAGGGAGCCGGGCTCCCATTGCGCACAGATGCTCCTGCAAACCTGAGCTCTCCCATTCTCAGCCTCTCCTGGCAGCCTTGGACATGTTTCCATAGAGCTGTAAGCAGGGAAGATGTTTGAAGAAACAAGTTATCTCTGGAGTTTGTTTTTCTTATGCTCTGAAGCCAGTACTACTTTACTCATCCTCACTATTTGAGCTTTTTTTTTCCCCCCTGAAAAACAGATGTGTATCATGTTGGAATCCTTTTTCTGCTCTTGGGTACTGGAAAGGGACCGGCTTTTTCCATTCAACAGACTTCTTGCTGTTTAGCTGGAGATCTGAAAAGGGTTGTGAGGCGACTATCAGAAGGAATATTATTTTGTTCAATCCATTGTCAAGGAAGGATCAAAAACCATTGGTAACTCTTCTTATCTTTCAGCTGATAACATTGAGTTGAGCACATCTGCTCAGTCTATTCTGAGTCCTTTGAATTAGAATTGCACTATTGCTGTGACTTCTGAGTGAGACACATTTTTGTGAAAACTGCTTTTCAGTCCTTTTCTATGAACATGCAGGTTTCTGAAATTCCTGCGCTGTGAGTTTCTATATGGACGTGTCCTTGTTCTATCCTCCTTCAGAGGTTTGGCTGAATTGCAGGTTCGGAGGAGCTGAGCAGAGCCTAATGCTTCTTATGGCTGGAAAAGCCCTTCAGGCAAAGGGAAGAGCAGTGATTTGCACGTGCTACCAAGTGCATTCTTCTTTAGCTTTTATTACTGCCTCCAGGTCACCTACATTGTGACTGTGCATGCAGGCAGTGAGGTTTGCAATAAACTTTATAACTAAATAATGGTCTCAGTGTGCAGGTGGAATGGCATCATGATGTGCTTTTCCTGTTATTTTTTTTTCCCGTTTTATTATCATACAAGTGGTTCTTCCTGCAGCTCTTGGAGGGAGTTTCTGCTACATGCAGAGGGCAGAGCTGCAGAGCAGCCTACTTTTCACTTTTCTTTTTATCACACATCGTTTCATTGTATTGAGAAAATCAGTTATAAAGCACCATTTTTTTTCCCTGACTTTGATATTTCTCCTTCAAAATGCTACATGTAAGCCTTAGTTTGGGTGCTCTGCTTCCTTTATCTCCAGCACTGTGTGGCCTGGTGTAGCAGAGTCTGTAGAAAAGCAAAGATGGAACAGGACTTTAAGATACAGCAGCTAGTCCAGAGCACAGCGCTGTGGGTATATGATCCATTCTGTTTTCTTTGCAGCACTTGAGTTCAGCTTTGTGCATACTGAGAACTAACAGCTCGAGGTGTTTATAATCAGTTTGGTTAAGAGACTGGGGAATTCCTGCATCAACACTTTGTTGGGGTGACAGAGTGGGGAAGAAAGGAAGCACCAGTGCTGTGCAAGTGCTGCTCTATTCTCAGCATGGTTTTAGCCACCAATCCAGAGTGTAGCACCATGCACGCTGCTGTGAACGGTGTTGCCTCCATCCAAGCCCCACACCCTGTACAGGGCTTCATTCATTCAAAACCAGTTGGAGTGACCTGCTTGCTTTTCCCTGGCCTGGCCACTGAGTCAGGCAGCTTGAGTCTGTTTTGAGCTGCTGGAAAAGAAGATAGGGAAGCAGTGTGTCTGTCCACGAAGCACAGCCTTTCTCTGTAGAAAACCTACATCCTCTAACTCAGGTGTTACGTGCTAATGTCATCTGTCCTCAGATTTCATGGTTAAACTGGATGGTGTTTTTAGAGCTTTTTAATTTTTTTTCCAGATGAACCCTTGTGCTGCAGTGACATTAATTCCACCTGTGTAAAATGGAAGTAATTGGGTTCTTCTGTTTGATTGGTAGCTTTGGCTCTTACTCTTGATGTATTGTCCTGTCTGGGGCTGTTATCTGATGGGGGATGCAAGAACAGTAATTGGATTTGTGAAATGAGATCCTGAAGTCTTTTCTCCAGGCATGCATAAGACCAGACACATCTGAAGGATTTATATTTGTTTAAACAATGTTAGAAATGTATGGTAATGGCTTTTCCTGTCTGTAAAAGAGCAGGTTTTTGGAGCCTGAGTTTTTCATGAAGGTAAATACTAGGAGGAGACTCCTGTGCCAATACATGGGAAAAACAATGGCAGTTTGTGCACTGAGCACATCTTTAGGAGTAGCTGATGATTGTTAGTGAAGTGACCAGGTAATACTAAGCTGCTTTTATTCCTGATGGAAGAAATAGGAGCATTCCACATCCCTAATTGCTTGTCGTTGTTGCAGAGCCAAACAGAAAAACGTATTAAAGTCTGACCTGTGGCTTGAGGGTGGTTTTTGAGATGATCTCAGTGATTGCGTTGTTTCTGGTCAGCTTGCTTCTCTGTAACATAAACAATGCCAGAATGTAATGTAAGGTGTTTTCTCTGGTTTTAGGGTGGTACAGAGGTGTTTCCATTAAGAAGCCCAATGTGAAGGTAAGTCTTTCAATTTACTGGTAGATTGTCTCTGCTTTGCTGTTGCAACCATGTTAACAGTTACCTTACCCAGGGTTGTGCTTACCTTTCACTTCTCCATGTGATGAGATTAGATTTATTTCCTAGATGTAGAGAACAGTATTTGTTACCCCCCAAAATCAGGAATCTTCCCAGTATGTACCATTAAATCTTTCTAATACCTGTAAGTCTCATCCAGTTGGATCATTTCCACATGACTCCTCCTAGAGGGAGGCTGATCTTATGCTGCTTAATGAAGCTCATTTAATTATTTGCGTTGTCAGTTTAGGGTAATTATGGAAAAGTATCTGATGAAGAAGGGTGCTTTGTTTCAGACTTTTACCATTTAACTACTGCATTTGGTTATTTTCCAGTTATACCCATTTTGTTTCTTGAACTTTTTTGGCTGTCCTGATGAGTGCATGTGTATTTATGTAAATGTATGTGTCAGGGCACATAAATAGTTTTCTCCTTCATTGGCTTCTGGTATAAATACAGCTTGTATTTAAAAAGAAAAGAGCGTCGGATTCCTCATGTTTCAGACTACTTTTTTTCCTCTTGTTACTGGAAATGTTTGCATGATTGAAGTTCTTTCCATGGAACACTGTGCTTGTTGTGCTCTCCATGTGCTTGTTTTGTGTGCACTGCTACCTCTTCTGCTTGAGTATCTGCTCAGTTTTGGTCCGAGAGCCCTTCAAACCTTCCTTGGTTTCTTAGGTAACAGCAAAGGATCACAGAAGTACAAAGCATGGATAGGAAGGAACCAGACAAGAAACTGAAGTAGCATTTTTTCCCGCCAGATTTTTGGAGGGCTGAAAGCATTTACTACTTTTTCTCATTAAGCTGTTATTGTTTGCTTTAATTCTGCAGTGTCCATCTTGCCTATCAAAAGGGAGGATTTTTCCTTAACGTTTTGAATACAATTTTCTTAATATTCCTTTCAAAACCCTCATCATGCTGAAAAAATGTCTTCCTGGATTATTACACAGTGTTGTTCTAAAAATGTAAAGCTCACATTTGATTACGGAAATGATTGTGAATGGCTGACTGCTGTTCTTCACCTGCAGATTAATGGTGCTGATGTAGTTTCCCCACTGGGGTGCATGTCCTTACAAACCAGCTGAAGCTGCTCTAAGCATTTGAGGCTTTGTTTGTTTTTTTTTTCTTTTTTTCTTTTTTTTACAGAGATGATGGAGTACAATGACGATTTTGGTTTAAATTATCCATTTTCTCTGTTTCATCTCATGAGAGCTTGATAAACTTGATAGCATGGGCAGAGTTAGAGCCCATCTGTCGTGGGAGCAGCAAAAGGCAAACACCTGGAGCTGTGCTGGGTGGGCTTGGGCAGTTCTTTGCTAGGAGGAGGATAGCCTGGGGTATGCAGGTAATGGAATACTTGTTTGCTCAGTGGGAGACTGGGATAAGGACTAAACACAAATTGGATGGTGGATTTTTTCTTTTTTTTTTTTTTTTTTTTTTTTTTTTTAAGTCTAGGCCCTTTTCTCTTAAGGTAATGTGGCATGCTGAAGGGAAGGCCTGGAAGTGGGGCTGATGTCATGCTGGGAGCTGCACAACAGGCACTGGTGCTGGCTAGCTTACATCTCTGCAGTCAGTGTCCCTGGTTGTTACTGCTCTTCCTCATTCCTTCTGCTGACTGCAAGCTGCTCATTCCTCAGAGTTCTTTCTACTTGTCACACCTCATGCCTGCTTGCTCATTACCTGTTAGCACGCTGCTGGGCTCGCATGCTTTTTGCAGCATGAAGAAAATTTGCTAAATGTAGATCCCTTATTTTGATCCCTTGTCCAATCCTTGTCCATTCCAAGGCAACAGCGTGTAGGCTTAGCATGAGACTTCTCATTTGGTCATAGTTGGCTTACCCACTGTTTTTATGCCAGAGGACATTTCACGTGGAACAGTGCTTCTGAACATTTTGGAAGCTTTGTGGGATGAAAATTACTTGTCCAGTTTGAATGTTGACTTGAGTCTGTGGCAGTGTTTTTGACACAGTGATGGGGGAGGATGTGAATGTGTATACTGGCAATTGCATGCATATATAAATAATGGTACAAATGTATTAATGCTGCAAACTGCAAGTGTTGCCTTTCTAACTTACAGGCTTTTCTCTCTTGCAGGGGATTTTTCCTGCAAACTATATTCACTTGAAAAAGGCAGTTGTCAGTAACAGAGGGTGAGTGGTTTTCCTTCTTTTAAGAAACTGCAATTTCTCTTTTAGAAGGGAATCTAAGAAATTGTTATTAAAATGTATAGTGTTTTTTGTACACTGTAGTTTGTGTTTATAATGTCCTGAAATTGAAACATTATTCCGCCGAGCTGTGTTATAAATTCCTTGATTTTCTTCTTGTTTTTAACACAGCAGGAAGCAGTTCTGTCATTTACTCCTGCTCCCTTTTCATAAAATCAATACTTCAGAGGTGCTGCCTGATATGCGCCTATTGTAAATAATTCTATTTATATTTTTAATTTCTTGTTGCTCCTCACTGGCAGAATTCTATATTCCATTCTGTTTGTTAGGGAGGCACTGGCACGTAGGCAGCTGATGTCATTTCTGAACAGATTTTCGTCCTTATATTGCTGACAAGGTAACTGTGTTACTTTGGAACTTTTCAAGAACATCCAACCCCCATACCTCAGCCCAAAGAATGACTCAGGTGTGCTCTGCTGAATTGTCTTTTACCTTCAGGGCAGCAGAAGGGCTGATTAGGCATAGGGTTAGTTTAGTCAGTGTTAATAGCAGAGCTGATGACGTGATGGCAGAGTTCTTAGCGCAGTTTCCAGCGAGGTTAACTGATGCTCCTGCATGCTCAGAGCTGCTCTTATCTACATTTTCTACATCAGGACTGTTGTGAGGAGAATTAGAGGTGCAGCATTTCAGATGGTCGCCCCAAGTGGAAGATGAAACGGGGAAGATAAAACTAAAAGATGGCATTTAGTGAAGTTCCTGCAGAAAAAGGTGTGACTTCTGATGGTCTTGCATTGTGTGGTTAATTGACAAATGGGCTGAGTAAACCTTTTAAGGGCAGCAGTAGTACTGATGCTTCATAACTTAGGAGTGTAGTGAAACACATAGCTTGTGTGCAGTGACTGCTCCTGATGTGTACTCTCCTTGTGGGAAAGAACAGTTTCCCACAATTTATCAAATTGTGGTTGAAGTTAATTCACAGTTTGTGAAGGGCAACCAACTCAGGATATTTGCATTCTCAATAGGACAATTTTATTTTTTAAAACTAAGTATCTGAAGATTGGTTTACAATACAGCAGAATATAGTTGGAAAATAATCTGATTCTGACTCAGAGATCGTAGTCGTTAGTCATGCATTGGTAAAAAGAAATGAATACAATTCTGCCCTGTATTTAAGACCACATTCCAAGAACTAATATGAACATCTGTATAATAATAAAGCATACTATATATAATAAATTAAAAAAATATATATAATAAATACTATTATATATATAATAAAGCATACTATTCTTAAGTGTTGTGCTTCAGATCACAAGCATATTCTGTAGAGATGTGTTAAAACATGAATAGAGATTTCCTAGTCTTTCACTTTGTCCACATATGAAGAAGTGCAGCTGTGGAGTAGGGCACAATCTCAGATGCTAGGTGTTAGGTTTTGAATGGGAAGGGTGAAGTCATTGGCATAATTATAGAAAAATCTGTCTTGCTGTCCTGGGGCTTTCCAGTCCCAGCTTTAATGGGTTGAATGCATACCTAATATGGCCTCAGCAGGTTTCTAAGATATCAAATATATATATTTTGAAATAATACAAGATTTACTTATGTCATTAATGTGAATGTGTTTTTAGTAGCTTGGAAATGAAGTATTGCAACTTAGTTCTCTACTCCAGAGATATCCAGTAACGTACGGTGACTAAAAATCGTAGAATCATGGATTAACTTAATTTAGAAAAGACCTTTTAGGTCACTGAATCTAGCCACCAACCTGAACTACCAAATCTTGGCACTAAACCTTATCCCTTAGCACCATGTCCACGCATCTCTTAAATACCTTCAGGCATGAGGAATGCACTGCTGCCCTTGTCAGCCCATTCCAGTGCTTGACCACCTTCCCTGTGCAGATGTTATTCCTAACATCCAGTCTAAACCTACCCTGGCACAATGTGGGCCGTTAACTTCATCCTGCTTACCACTAACTGTCTGTAATATCACTCAACATGAAGGGCAAGTCAGGTACTCCTGGCTCAGATAGCATATTGTATAATAATATTTATGTTAATTATCACATTTGTAGATCTTAGTGTAATGAAAGAAGGGAGTGCAGTGCTTCTCCTCTGATTGGTAAAGAAGACCTTGGCTGTGAAGGTGTTCTGTTATTTTGGTTAGAGGATGGCCTGGTTGGGTTCCCCTGAAATCCAGTAGTGAAGAAGCCTTCTGGCTGGGGAAGGCCGTAAATGGTAGATCTTCTGGGTGTTTGATGTACTGGCAGGGTGTCATTAGAGGGAGGAAAGGGTCGGACTGGATTAGACAGAACACAAGTGGAAGGGCCCCACTTACAGACAGAGTAATTTAACGTGCTATAATAACGAGAAGTGTTTTCACTGACCTCAATTAGAATGATTTGAATATTGAACACATAAGTAGAAAATGCTTCATGAAAGCAAACTTTTGGGAATGTCATGGAGGAACAATTGATAGGAGACTGGAGTTGCTTGAGTGTTATAACAGGCAAGATGTTACTCTTAAAACGTTTTTCTTTAGGTTGAGAGCTCATTTTTCTTTAGGTTGAGAGTGTTCTACAAATGACTGTGCTGGTACTTATTTCCTGTACCTTTTCCAGAGTACCTCTCCTAATTTTTGTCCTCTTCTTGTCTAGGCAATATGAAACAGTTGTGCCACTTGAAGATTCTGTTGTGACTGAGGTCACAGCAACACTACAGGAATGGGCTGTGCTCTGGAAACAGCTGTATGTGGTAAGAACTCTTCTCATTGCATAGCATTTTTCAAATACCTCGAATGAGAGCTATGTTGCATGCTTCCCAGCCCATTAGGAAAAAAGCATGAAATACAAATTTTTAGATTTCCTTTTTGTCTGGTGGGGGGAGTGGCTAACTGTAGAAGCCCTGGTAATGTGAGATTCACATTGGAAACTAAGGCAGTTTTGAAATTTTGCCTTCAAATCCCAAACCTTCCTTGTTTAAATTGGTAAGAAATTCTTAAGAAATGTTCTTAAGATAAGAAATGCGTTTAGTAACACCAAAATGGAAGACCTCTGCAGGTCCCCTCAAAGAATTACTCAGCACAGATTGTATTTGTTTTGGTGTCTGGGGTTTAATAGACGAAGAACTTAAACAGAAGCGTTTCCATATTGTTGTTCCTTCCAATATTAAAAGTGAAATAAAAATAAACACTCATAATTTTCAGTTGCTGACAGATAATGTCACCTAGCTCTGCTTTCATTATAATCCTACTATATTTTTTTTAATGGCCAAATCCTATAGAACGGCAAATAAGAAACCTGCATACTTGAAAATATTTTTTTCCGTTTTATTTATTTACAGTTTTTTTTCTTAATAATTATAAGCTGTAACTATTGAGTTAGGACCAAGAACTGTAGGTAGTTGATGTATGAAATTCTTTTCTTTAGAGAAATACCTCTATGTAAACCTTGCTTAAGTTAAGCCTGAAGTGCTGTTAGTGAGATACTTGGGTAATATAGGCAGAAAAGATGGGTCCAGCGTAGCACAATGAGCCTCATTCCTTTCTCTCTTCAAAAAGCAATCAAGTCTATTATGAAATCAACTTTCCTTGTGTTGCTTCCAATTCTTCTCTGATGGCACATGCAATATACAATCTTCTTAGTACTGCTGTTACATCATCTAGCACTCCTTGATTTTTCCATTCCGGATATTCTGTTGCTGTATGTTTCTATAAGGTAGATTTTTCTCTCTCCCCAGTGTCTTATGAAGAAGGCAACAGTAGTATGGCAATAGTATTGCAGCTGTGAAAGGAGAATTATTTTACTTAGAAATGAGTTGAACTTCCATTCTACTAATCTGTTTCTTTTTGATTGTTATAGCTACGTTTTGAGGAGAGGGAGTAAGAAAGCTCTAGCTATAAACTTTAATGTTTCTATTTCTGGGACTGCTTTTACAGCTCATTACACACAATGTTATTGTATTCTTAAATAACAGGGGAAAAGATTTACCGGTTTCATGTAATTTGGGAAGCAGACGACAGCTTCAAAAAAGAAGTTGGCAAAGCTTCAGAGTAGGGGGAAAAATATTTTGCTTTTTCCCTCTGGAGTACTACAAAAAATAGTATAGAAATGATGACAAAATCATTTAGGTTAGAAGGGACCTCCTCATGCCGTCCCACTGGCTGCTTGCATAGGGTCAGGCAGAGCAGGTTGCCCACAATGGGGTCCTGTCAGGTTTTGATCCTCTTTGTGACAGAGACTCTAGCACTTCTCTGGGCATTGCCGTCGGTGTTTGACCACCTTCACGATAAGAAGTAATGTTTTCTTATGTTCAGCACTGCTGATATGGCAGTGTAGCTTTCCTGACATGAAGGAACAGTCTCTGCTGTTGTTAGGGGGGTGACCGAAACGTGTCCTATTCAGAAACTGTCCTGAAGGCTGAGGAGTTGTAGAGGATGCACAAATGGATGTGGCAGTGCGGGTGTGCTGTTTGGTTAGAAATTGAACAGTAAGGTCACATGGTGAAGTGTTTTAAAGAGACTAAAGAGAAATACTTGTTTAGTGTTGGGTCAGCATCAGCAGAAATTTTTATTAAACCCGCGTTGAAATATGAATCATTTAAGAAATCTAATTAGTGTTATTCATCATGCTGCTGTGCCTTGTCAGCTTAGTAGAAAAGTTCTAAGGTGTAGAGAAAGTTAAAATGCTGGTTGTTAGAGCAGATGTTTTCAGTAGGTCAGTACCTATAAATGGCAGCAGTGGGCACCTCTGCAGTGCAGTACTGCTACGTAACAGACAGCTGCCAAACAACATGCAGAGCATCTCTTTGTAGCTCTGGATGGGCTGAGCTGTTCATCTTGTGTTTTGGCAGGCTTCATGCTTGGATTATGGTTTGGAGGACGAGTTTATTTCAGTACAAAATTCCAAAAACCTTCTTTGGTCTTGCACTTGGGGTGCGTTGTAAGGTTTCTGCCTGCCTCTCAAATAACAGACTTGGGAATTGCAGTGTCTAGGAAGCCTGGAGCAACTGCCTGAAAAGAGGTGTTCTGCGGTTCCAAGACAAAAGAGCTGAGCTGCGGTTCCAAGACAAAAGAAGCTGGGGGAAGAGGAGAAAGCTAACGAAGGGGAAAGTAAAGTAAAGCTCGGGTTTGAAAAACCATTGTAGAAAATCAAGTCTCATAAAGCCTTCCTCACACCTCTCTGACCACAGAGTCCATGCTCTTACCAGGAAGAAATTCTGGAAAGCTCAAATAGCTTTCAGTTAGGAGCTGTGCAGTACTTCTGGTTTGCAGACTATAAAATATGTATTGGAAAGATGGGCCTGAGTACCACACAGTGTTGTGATAGTCTTACAGTTTCTGCTGTCAATGTGAAAGCTGAATAATCATGTTACTAGAACTAGAAGCTGAGACTGTAGAGAAAAAGGCATTTATGTGCAATGAGTTCTTAAGGGAAGGTTGTGCTTAGAAAGAATTTGAAGCAAGACAGTGTATGGTGGCGTTCTCTGTGCTTTGTAGTATTGTAATCCAATTACTCAGAGCATCTGTCTATAAGTGCTAAAAAAGCAATATGATTTCTGAAAATACAGGAGATTTCTCTCCATCTGGAAAGGTATAGAGATATTTATATGCTATAAAAGCCAGGAGAAAATTTTTTCAAGGTCTTTAGTAATTTATACTGAATGTTTTTTGTAACAGTAGTGGTAATCTGGTTAAAAAACTGTATGCTCATCTAACAGTACTTGGGATAATCTGTAATAGATAGTAAATATTTAATATTTCTAAAAGTAAATGCTTGTTTAGTTTTGAGATTAAACAAACAAAACAAACAAACAAAAAAAAAATTTCTGTTTGAATAAGTAATCTGAGTGCAGATGTCATGTCCTGGTACTGGAAAAGAAAGTTTTCCTTCTGACGTGCGTGTCTGCGGGGTTTGCAGATGAGCGTGGGATCAGTAGGTGTTGGTAACTTCTTTCTGTCCTGAAGGTCACCGTTCTGTGTCACATACTGACATTGGAGTTTTCTACTTCCACTGCTGTTATGTGAAGTTTCTGGGGAGGAGTTAACAAGAACTAAATGTTTTAACTGCATGCTATGTAAACTTTGTTTACTGTGTGGCTTATAGCATGGGTAGAGTTTCTGATAACAGATGCCCAAATGTGCATGTGAGCATATGTGTATATTGTCACTGCATATCACACTGCTTTTATCTGGCGTTATTCTTTAGCCTGGCTCATAAACTCTGAGTTCTTGGAGATTAATTTGGACAACATAACTTCTTCCTTCTCTGGGAAGCCTAAGAAATTTAAAATAAGGTTCTATTTGTCCCTTTTTAGTATTACAAAAGCACATAAGAAGTTGCCAGAGATTCCCTTCTCTGATATTGCACTTTGTAATGTACTGGGAGAGAAAGTAAAAATAGAGTTATTATTATTGTATAGATAAATAGAGTTATTGTTATTATTTGTACTGCGTTGGGAAGCTGAGCTTATTCTTGTGAGTGCTCCAAAGAGATGGAACAGGACAGAAAAAGAAAACAAAACAAAGTCTTTAGGGGAGACTTTTGAAGGTGCAGAGCTGGATAGAGATGCACAGTTGTGTTTGTTGTGGTGATGTGCATGTGTGTAGCTGTCAGGCAGTTGCCCAGGCCAGTATATGACTTCCATAGAGAGAAAAATAATACCAAGAAGGTGGATAACTTTCTCTTACCCTGTAGATGTTGGTCAGATCTGTTATTTTATACTACTTCTAAATAAGGGATCTGTAAGTTCTTCGTCAGCTTTAGTTAATTAGGTCAAACAAGACTCTTGTGAGTTCTTAAGTCAGCTTAAGAGATCACTGTAACTCACAGGTGGAGCACAGCAGCTATTTTAGCAGTAAAAAAATTCCTCAGAGTTTTAAGATGTGATGGGGGGATGATTTCTGTTGAAATAGCAGATTACTGCGGAGAGACCAAACGTAACTGCCCAATTTAGAATTTGGTCAGATCAATAAATGTAGTTTGCCACTTCTCTGCAGAAAGAGCAGAGGGAAGAGTGTGGAATGCGATCTAATCCACTGGGAATAGATGGAATTCTTTGCCAGCTGAGTTTGAATCCTTTTAAATCTTCTGAAGCTCCTGTTTAGTGTAAAAGTGGGCAAAAGTACGTGGTGCAGTTGGAGCTGGTCTGGGTGTTTATTGTAAGGCTTCCCTGGCTACTGCAGAGTGGCATTAGTTCAGAATTGGCATTTTAAAACAGATGTCCTTTACTGAATCACTAGTGTAGTTTTTAACCTTGTATTGGAGTGTTTTGAGACATTTTTAATTAGTGAGGTGGCATTTACTTCAAAACTGGTGAAACCATAGAAGTGATGTTTAAAAAATAAAACAAAAAACACAGCACCACAAAAAAACAGAAAAGAAAAAACAACCACAAACCATGCAGTGCCTGACTACTACTTCAAAACATCTCCTGTGAAGATGCGGGGCGGAAATACAGTGCTGATGATATTTCACACACAGTTCTTTGCAGTTAGACTCCTGGAAAGGTACAATATCTGGTCACTTTTCCTCTTTCTGAGCCAGTTTCTAGGTTACCTGCAGACAAGAAGCTCCTTTACATGGTTCTTCAACTGTTGTGAAAAGAATGCTTGAAAGAGTCCTGGAAAGTTGCTTGGCCCAGGTTGATGCTAACAGAAAACTGGAAGTTATCCCTAGTCCTGTGTTCTGTTATTCGATGGCATTATGGAAGTGTTTTGTGTTTTTCATGGTTACAGTGAAGGGTGGATCTTCATG